GAAGAGTGGTGCCATGAAAAGCAGATTATCCCTTTTCAGTGTTCAGTGGTGGAGCTGTTGTGTTTTCTTCAAGACTTGCTGGACAAAAGGAAAGCTTTTTCCACTATAAAGGTCTATTTAGCAGCTATTTCAGCCTGCCACGTGGGGTTTGGTGATAAACCTGCTGGGCAGCACCCCCTTGTAGGTCGCTTCATGAGAGGAGCGCGTCGAACGCTCCCAGTTTCTAGACCACTGGTCCCTTTATGGGATCTGTCAGTCGTTTTAGACGCCCTCTCCCACCACCCCTTTGAGCCTATTGGGGCAGTGGGGTTGAAGTTTCTCTCTCTTAAAACCACTCTGCTGTTGGCTCTAACCACAGCCAAGCGAGTTAGTGAATTACAGGCTCTGTCTATTCACCCCTCTTGTTTCACTATGGGAATCGCCTCGGCGTGACCAACTACGGAAGCTCCAATGACACCACGTCTGTCTATGACAGACCTGTCGAGCCGTGCTCAGGGCTCCGCCCCCTCGTACTAACACGGCCGACCAGCTCCTCCTAACTCATTCCAAGCAGATTTCTTTCCGTGCCTAAGCAAGGAGGGAAGTGTTGGTGAAACACCTCACTCTGTTATCAAAGAACCAGGGATTACGTTAAGTAACCCAACGTTCTACAACATACTTCTAAATTGGAAAAATAAAGCTCCCCCAACTCACTCTGCCTTGTTAAGAGACACAATGTATCATTTACAGTTGGAGAAAATTACATTTTCATTGAGAGATAATGTTAAACAGTTTTTAATGTTAAACATTTCATTTGTTCTACAGACAGGCAACCCAACATTTAGCTTCATCATTATTAGGATTTTTATGCGTGATATCTGTTTGTAGACTTATATAATTGTATGTAATTATACATGTATATTGTATATTGAGGTAGGATCAAATGAGTTTACCTTTAAGTCTGTTTGTACCAACCCTTTCTTTATCTCATTATTGTTTAAAGTGTATTTTGTTGTTATTTTAGTCATGTTCAAAATAAATCAATCATTCAGTGGAGAAAGAAAAAAAAAAAATATATATGTCTCATTTTCAAGACCTATTCTACTTACCAGTTCCAGTCTTTGTGGAAGTAGAGTTTAAAATGTGCTAAGAGGCATAAGTACCAATGTAAAAATGTTCATACATAAAGTAAATATAGCTAAACAGTTAAGAGTAATCAATAGGCAGTAGCAGTAAGTAGCCTTGCAAGGCCAATTTGGCCATGTCCACATAGTGTGATTGGTAATCTGATCCAGGACTGTAACCATTGGCAATCGGCATGCTGACTGTTGAAATGTATGTTATATATAAATATGAGAATGTTATAAGAAACAATGTTAATATTTGTAATATCCATCCCATGGTCGATCCCCTGCCTTTGCCCCAATTCAGGATGTCGGACGCAGGTTCAGGCGACCCTGGTGGTCGGGTGCCGACTCCTGGAGGGAGCGGTAACAAAGGACTCCTGATGAGCCGTCGCCCGTCAGCTGGCATCTCTCCTGGCCGCCTCCCCACGATGCGATCCAGAGACCTCACATTAGGAGGAGTGAAGAAGGTCTGACATGCCTCTGTTTCACTAACTCACTCGCTTCATTTAACAACAACAACAGAAAAAAAAAGCGCAAATGGATACTTTAAATGAATACATTTGTTGTCTCATCTCTTGCATTTATCGTTCTTCTTTTTACTCTTTAGAAAACGTTTACACCCAACATTATTGGCCGAAAAGTTAAAGAAGAGTAAGTTCCCGAAGCGCTAAATAAATAAAGTGCAGACATCCAAAGCCAGCTGTTTCTTTGACTGTTATTTTCTCACACTAGAACAAAAGTTGAAGATGGGCAGAGGAGAGAGAGGAAGGAAACGGATCGAGGTCGGGGTCCCAGAATGAGAGGCAGGGGCCGAGGCCATCAAGAGCTCATCCAGTCGCACTCCATTTTTGAACAGGGGCCCGGAGACATGATGATGAAAAAGAGAGGTGGGAGACCCGGTGCTCCTCACGCATCGTTTACGTGTGTGTCTTACAGAGTCTCTATCGCACCAGCATAATTCTGTGTCACCCACACACACAGGCGGCTATGAAAGCGAGAGAGACGCTCCAAGCATGGGACCCTCGCCCATCATTAATATCAAAAAGGAAAAGCGAGAGACCGAGGAGGAGACCAAAGAGATCCTGCGCAAGCTGGAACGAGACAACGTGAGTCTCTTGGTTTTCACTCGTCTTTGTTTGCGTAACTAAATACGTACAATTTCATTTATATAGCACCTTTAGAATAAGACCTAAGGGACTTGCTTGGGTCATATAGCTGTAAAACATTCACTGATGTAACCTGGTTCTAGTCCATGATGAGCTCTAGTCAGAACGACAATCTTGAAATGGGCTCCGAGTTCAGCGGGGAGCCGGTGCAGCTGGATCAACAACGGTTTAAATGTATTTAGAAGATTTAGTCAGAATCCTCGCTGCAGGTTTTTGAACAACCTGCAGATGTTCCATGGGGTTTTTGCTTAGACAAGTAAAGGATTATATCTTTTTCCCAATGCTTATTGTGTTCTTTTAGTTTGTGGATGATCCCTTCCTGCGGAGTGAGAAGAGGAGCTGCCCTGTCCAGCTCCCCCTCGCTGTGTCAGGATGGGGATTCAAGGATGAATTTAGTGACGCTTCTATTAAAAATGAGAAGAAAGAGGAGGATTGTGAACCAATGGAGCCTGCAGCTGAAGGTAAATGTTTGTACCTGCGTTGGACTCAGAACTTGTTTAATTTCCTTTGCAGCATCATGAAATTAATCGTAACTTTGTCTTCAGTGAAACAAGAGCCAGAGGAAATTGAAATAAAGAAGCCCGAGGCAACTTGCAGGCCTCCTCCTCTCCCCGAGCCCGAAGTACTCCCTGACCTGCTGCACAGATGGAGTCTGAGCAAAGTGGAGGAGCTTTTCTTCATTCAGCTACCAGACTCGCTGCCCGGCCAGCCTCCCACAAAAGAGCACAAGCCGGTGAAAACAGAGGTGCAGTCAGAGGATGGGCAGTCTGTGCTCCTGAAAACAGAATCAGAGGTAAGCATACAGCTGGGGTCCAAGTTTAAGTCCACGATGTCGTCGTGTTCTTCTGAGTAGGTGGTGTTTTTATACCAAACAGGAGGAGAAAGCTGAGGACAACAGCTGCAATCTGAAGGATCTGCGGGAGGGTGTTGTGGGAAAGATGCTGGTACGCAAGTCTGGCCGAGTGCAGCTCATACTGGGGCAGGTGACGCTCGATGTGTCTCTAGGAACATCCTGCTCTTTCCTGCAGGTACAACACAAATTTATTTCTTTGAGGATTTTTTATGTCTTTTTCTGAGTAATGTATTTATTTCCATCTTCCAACATTCTCCTCCGATCTGTTGTATTTGCACGATAAAAACATTTCTGACGCGCTTTTCCTTCCATCCCTTCTATTCACAGGAACTTGTCTCTATCAATACAGAGGGGAAAACGGGTAACTTGACTGTATTAGGGAACGTCAAACACAAAATGGTTTGCTCACCGGACTTTGAAGCTCTGCTGGAGAGCAGTTCTTGATGCTCATCAGAGGAGCAGGCGACTGATCCTCCTCAAGTCCGATGGACACTTGCGGAGAAGTTGACAAAAGGCTAGATACTACAAGGCTGCTGCACCCGTAAGGCTTACAAGTAGAGAGGTAGCTGGCTGAGATTTTGTGTTTACAGAGTGGTTATAAAACACTATCTATAATTAGGAAACAAAAGTTTTATTTTCTCTCATTCATAGAGTTTATTAATTCATGGTTGTAAGCTTGAATGACGTGCCAAGTATCAGTACCATTTTTCCTTCTCTGTATCTGAAATTACTTGAAAAGACTTTACATGGATGTAAATGTGTGAATAAAAAGGGTCTGTTTTTGTTATCAAAGTATTTTCAATTGTTTAAAAGTTGGTTTGTGGAAATTACAAAAATAATTACTTTCTTTTTGTAGATAAAAATATATATATATTTAAAAAAAACATAAACAACAAAGGCTTTATTTTTTGTTTTGGGGGAATTTGCTATTACGTGAAGAGTAATATTAGAAAAGGTGTATTAATTCTATCATTCTGATGCAGTACAAATGGCAGGTTTGTACTAATATTTCCTATTTTGTTTAGTTGTGGTCAAAAAAATTTAAATACAGTATGACAGTTTTAAATATAGTGCAGAAATTCTCAACAGGACTGAGCTTGGGGCTTTGGGAAGGCCATTCAAGAAACTTAATGTTAGCCTGCTTTATCTAATCCAAAACCAGGTTTGATGTGTTTTGGGTCATTGTCTTGTTCTTGGTTGGCATCCAGCAGTTTCCCGTTCATGGCAGGCTTGAGCTTTGGTGATTCCTGGGTTGTTCTAACAATTTACTCTCATCTAAGGGTGATAGTTTGACCTCTTTTTAGACCTTAAAAAGTAGTGAGACATCTGAATAACTTTTATTTAAGGACAGCTGGTTAAACTGATGATCTTAGAATTTGCAGTGTTTAGAAATGGCTCAGGGAGGTCTTGACAACTTGTGTAAATCTACAATTCTCCTTTTTTGGTCTTCACTGAGTTCCTTTGTTTTCTCGTTGTTCTGAGTGGTGGTCCAATGAGTGTTGTCAAACATCCATATGCTAGCAAAAGAAACTAGCAGTTAAAGTTAATAGGTCGTGAACTTGTCAAGTTAAAAGACATTGTAGAACCTTGAACACCATGTATTAAAGGATTTAAGAAAGTGGATGCATACTTTTGAGCCTGCTTGGACTGGAAAAAAAATCCAAAATAACTCCTTCCATCCTGAGAAAAAGAACGGTTTAAAGAAATCTTTAAAGCCCCAAATTATCATGATATTCCTGCCCATGGTTAGTGGATGTAAACCTCTGACCACAAGCGCGTGTGGCAAAGTTGCTCTATAGCGCCACTAGTGGTTAGAAAAAAAATCCCAATAAAGTATTCAACTGTAATAGCGTACATGTACCACCAGAGGTCAGCACCGCTCGGTGGGGTGGGGGGGTTTCGGCAGGAGTTGGTCGTTTCAGTGATCCTCGAGCCGCCAGCTGTACGCTTGTGCTGTCCGACGGGTGGAGTTTGGCTGCAGTCCAAAAGACAAAGACAAAGTGATGGGGGACGGAGCGCTGCTGTACCGGAGCCGGACTTAACGTGGCTGAAGGTTGGTTAACTGTGAAGCCTTTTAAGCCTCGTGTAGTTTTGTTGTTAGGATAATTACTGGAAACACACCAAGTCCTCGTACCGAATTCAAGCTGGTAACTGAAAGGCTGTCTTAGCGGAGCGTGAACTACCGGACAGCATCGTGGAGGACTGAGCTGAGCGCAAGCAGGCTAACGTTAGCAAAACGAGGCAATTCGCACAAGGAGGCAAATTTGAGCCTCACTGTTAGCTCAGAGGCGACAAGCTAACTTTATCCTTGGCTTCTTGTCATCAGTGTGCGTTCAGGAGTCTTTGAGTTTCGCAACCGAGTTCTTGCTTATATCGCTTTAATAGCCTCCTCGGGGTTGAGAGGCGGCCAAATTGTCCTGGAAAGCGTCAATAGCCGTTAAATAATGCATGAGCCGCGCTAATCCAAAGTGTTTTGTTTTTTTTAATTGAGGACGGAGCCTGTCGTTAGCCGCCCGACTGCAGCATCAGCAGCTGGTACGAGAAGGGCCTCTAAGCTAACGTTATCGTTGCACCCCAGCCCATAACCGTAACATTTAAAGTTATCTGCTCCTTAGCAGAAAATAGGTGGGCGCTAACCTTATAAAGACCAGTGGTGTTTATTTATGTTCACGTTAGCATTAAGTTTGTACACCGGTATATGTAATATGTACTGAGCAGGCGCTGACACAAGGACACGTTGTCTGTCTTGCGTTATTAAATTACACAGACAGCAATCCGACCAAAGAGGTTTTAGTACTGAGACACAGCTGGTCCTGACCATGTGTTTACATCTTTCCAGGCCTTTGTGACTCTTGCCGAGCTCCCGGATCTTCACCACACAAGAAAAACCACCTGCTGTACCCAGCTGTTTTTGTCCCAGTGTTTACATTGTTTCCGCCAGCGGGAGGCATTTCTCAAACCGCAGAAAACATCTGCAACAAGGGACAGGCAGTTTGTTAGCACACCTGCCTTAATCGTAACCCCCCTCCCCTCCTTTTCCCGGAACTCTTCTCAGCTCAGTTTCAGAATCCAGTTCGAGGTGAATCTACTGAAATACTTAACACTGCCCAAGAGGGCAACAACAAGGTGGTCTCCTGTTTTTGTAATGATTCGCATTTCAGTGCAAGGAGAAGCTCCATCCCCTAGTTATCTTGATGAAGACCTTTTTCTGACAAAAAGGTAAAGGCCACTTGGGGCCGGGAGGTGAAGACCTGCACCTCTTCTCACATCTGCTCAATCCTGGGATTTTACACTGTTTTTGAACTGAACTCATCCAACTTTAAAGATGGAACTCTTCTTCAATCCTTTTGATAACTTGGTGTGTATCCTGCTGGGCATCTCCTTCACCGTGTGGTTCACCCTGCTGCTGGTCTTCATTATTGTGCCTGCCATCTTTGGGGTGTCCTTTGGTATCCGGCGTCTTTACATGAAAACACTCTTAAAGGTCTTTGAGGTAAGAGCCTGCTTCCTCGTGACTCAAAGTTTATTGCAGTCTGATGTGCTGTGGCAATCATAAATGTTGCGGATAAAGGTGTGTTTGTGCTTTTGTACAGTTGACCGTTAAAACGATTGCTTCTGCTGCCAAGCACAATGGCAAGGACATAAAAGTTGCTAGCATTGTTCCTCAAATGTGTCATTAAAATTTTATCTTAGTTGTAAAAAGGAAATAAGTTGTAGAAAACAGCGATTGTTCACTGGCACGTCTCCAGCTTTATCTGTGCCTTTAACGACTGACCAGTAGGCATTGTCTGACTGATAGAGATCAACACCACAGCCACTTCCCTTGTTATTCAAGTTTAGAAAACAGTGCTTGTCAGTAAGTGTTGTCTCTGCTTACTGAATTGCTGTCGTTACTTTAAAGAAATGCATTTGAACTCCTAATAATGGCACAGTGCATCAGCTGCTCTGCCCAGTTGTGTCACTAGTAAAGCAGTCATTACTTTCCATCATGTACCTCTGAGAGCAGAACTTGTGCCAGAAATAAATGAACCACTGGAAGATAATCAGATGTTCTTAGCTCATGATTCAAGGAGCAGCAGTGAGATTTCCAGAACAGAACAGATACGACCGAGAGCGTGCAAGGCAGAGAATGAAGATGTAGCACATGGATTTGGTTCATTAGGTTTGATGGAAATAAAAACATGAAACCTGCCATGTTTGTGTATAGACAGTTTTAACAGAAAACCTAAAATGATACTTTGTTTTTGCAGTTACTTGTCTGAAGAATTTGCTTTACTGTTAACCAATGAGTGTATAAATGGCAATACTTCATAAGATATGTGCATGTAGCAGTTAGGACCTTTTCGCTCGCATGCAGCTTGGGGGCTACATGCTGCAAAGCAGCTGCTTTATTTTGGTCCTCATCTTTTTACTAGAAGGAGCCGCTCTCTGTTTACTCCTGCAGTCACCACTGACAACTGCAGCTGCATTTTCATATGATGACTCGGTAAGACAACTTGTCACGACACAGTTTAAAGGTAGCTGTAAAAGAACAAAATAAAAAAGTGAAAAACCTTGGTTGACTAGTGTTGCTTGTATCAGATTTGACTAATGATGGCTTGTGTAGAGCCTTCATTACTAGCGTTAATGTTAATTGTTGCTGTAAAATAAAGTTATTTTTAGGAAATGTAATAAAACATCTTGGTTATCCAGCCTAAATAAAGGTGTTTAGGCTTTCTGTGATTTAGAGCCAAACGTTTGAAAGTTTGTGAGATGTCCAGCCACCAAGCGTTCTTGTTTGTACCAGTCCTTTTGACTAATTTGAGTTTTAGCAGACTTTCATGCCTTAATGTGTTTGAGTACTTACAAACATTCGGTTTTGTTCCAGTGTCAGTTGATTTTCTTATGATTGATGCAGAAAACCCTCAAAGTTGCCAAAATTCTGCAGGCTGTAGGCACAGGTGAAACTGATCGAGCACAACCAGGTTACTCATTTCCTGATATCCCCCCCCAAACACACGCACACAAACAAACATGTTGTTTTCCAGCTTGGGAGAACACTGCGTTCTTTGATGCACTTCATTTAGTTTTTTATCTCACCTAGCACAGCATACGTAAATGACTAGATGTTTGCGTCATAGGAAATATTTTTGACATTTATTGCAGTATAATACATGTTAAACAGGGAGTAGTCTGCATTTTAGTGTTTCTGCAAGCACAGATAAGTCAGAAAAATTGGAGAAGTACTACACATGGAAATCCTCTTTTTTTTTTTTTTTGAATAAGCAAACATTGGGTGTCTGAAGATAAGCACGATATACTTGAACAACACTGGGGAATTTTGCCATTTTTAATCATTTGTGCAAAAAGGAAAAACAATAGATGTAATATTTCTTTTTGTGGGGAAAGTTCATTCATATTGCCTCTTGAGCAGAAACGAGTATCGGATATTGGCTTGCTTAAAAATGTGACCATTTGTCCATATAAGATTCCTTCTGCTGCCAGATGTTTGACCTTTCTTTCATGTAATGTAATGTTGCAATGATGATTGAATGCAAGGCTGAAACCTGTCTTTAAAATAACAACCCTGCTGATAACCAGTGCGCACATGTTTTCATTTTAGATGCCTTTAGGCCAGGGTGTGGAGAATATTTGTGCACCTCTCTAGAATGAACTGTTTTTTTTTTTTATTTTTTAAATTTCTCAAACATTTTTGCGTCTCTTTCTAATTGTAGATCCATTTCTTTCTTTGTTTCTTTCTAGTGGGCCACACTTAGGATAGAGAGAGGAGCAAAAGAAAAGAATCACCTCCTGTACAAACCCTATTCAAATGGTAAGATCATTCTTGGAAATATTTGTTCAAAAGATGTATTTGTTTTAGAGGTGAATATTTTTGACTTTCTGTCTGTCTGAACTATTCCAGCTATCATTGCCAAGGAGCCAACCTCCTTGGAGGAGGAGATCAAGGAGATCCGGCGGAGCGGCAGCAATAAAGACCTGGACTCAGCCACTGAGTTTGAGTTATCTGACATTTTCTATTTTGCCCGGCGAGGAGTGGAAAGCATCATGGATGATGAAGTGACCAAGCGGTTTACTGCTGAGGAGCTGAAGTCCTGGAATCTGCTGACCCGGAGCAACTACAACTTCCACTATATCAGCCTGAGGCTGACTGTCCTATGGGGGCTGGGCCTGCTGATCCGCTATGGTTTCCTGCTGCCTCTCAGGTATTAGCTGTACTTTGAAGAGTCACAGGCAAAAGCACAGTTGCTGCTTTTGAAATACCAAAAACATGGATACACACAATACATTAGCCCCTCCTGTACAACTAGGCACTGGTATAACCTTGTCACAAATGCAAATGCTAGCATAAAAATTTAGTTTGAATACTTTTCCATATTTTAGCTCGTCACAAACGCTCAACGACATGAGAAATATGTTACGTATGTAACATACTAATAATCTCCTTCCCTAGCATGTATGTTTGTATCTTTTGTCATGTAACTCTATCTAAATAGTCCAATAAAAAGTTGCAAATGTACCACCTGTAGGCCAAACCAGCCTCACAATCGATGCTTCCAGTAGGGATATTTCAGAAAGGTCGGGTACACCCTCGATAGGTCTTTAGGCCGTCACAGCATTAACGCACATGTTCGCATCTATGGGACGTCTAGATTCCAGCCCTTGGGTGTGTGGTTTGACTGTGTGATGCAGCAGTCCTGCCCAACTGAGCAATGATAGAACGCTTTTTTCTTGTATTAAGTTCTTCAGTTTTAACAAACTGTCCCAGAGAATGTTACTAAAGTTTCACATTTATGTTTTAACCACATGCAAGTCTAACTGGTTACTCAGTTTTGTGTGGCTACTTGACATGCGAACTTGCTGTTACATAACTAAAGACGCCACATACAGAGATCCTCTACCAGCCTCATCTTAGAAAGACACAGAGATGGTGACTCAGTGCTAAGTGTGGCTGGCTCATTTCCAGTCGCCAGTGGGGAGACAAATCAGGCCACCGCTGCACAGACACCCTCCTTTCTAGTCTCCTGTCAAGCCTAATAGATTCTCTCTTTCAGCCTTTGTCCAATTGAATATTGGCTTTGCTCATGACACTGTGAAACCTTTAGCTCTCTTATATTTTTCTTAATCCCCACACAATATAATCAGCACCTTTTCCAGCCCTGGATGATTGGTTCATCCAGATTAAGTCGACGTGTCGGCCAGCTTAACTGTCACCTAATATGTCCTTCTGCAGGTTCTGCAGTCTTGTCTGAGACAGTGGAGTGTAGAGGAGGGCATGATACTTTGAGTTTATGTCAAGAATCTTACACTACTGCTTTTTACATGAGCTCTTCTAAGTGAAAGCTTGTGGTTCAGAAGAAAGCTTTTTAAGTAATATATCTGCATGTTAATGTCCATACAAAGACTAATTAATTAAACCAAAACAACTACAGTGTTCTGTTGTAATGCTTCCTTATATATGCTTCTCTGAATTGTCCTGTCTCCCTCTATCAGGGTCACTCTTGCCTTCACTGGTGTAGGTCTGCTTGTGTTCCTCACCTCTGTTGTTGGGCTGCTGCCAAATGGAAGGTATAACTGATGGTTACGACTTTAACTCTATCAAAAGTATCAGATCAGCCCTGCAGATGTGTTAATCCTGCTGTGTACTCTTTCCAGGATGAAGAATTTTCTGAGTGAGAAAGTCCATTTGATGTGCTACAGAATATGCGTCAGAGCTTTGACTGCCATTATAACCTACCATGACAGGTAAGGACCTACACTGTTTTCCCATATAACCACCAAGTCATGTGACTGTTTTATTCCATTTGTCAACCACTGGAAGTGTTTACTTGACATTGCTCATTTAATTGCATAATTTTCCATTTTTTTTTTGGATCAGTGTCCGTCATAGAGGACAGGATGATGGGTGGTGCATCTGCTGGTTGATTGCTTCACACAACTGCCCCAGTGTTTCTCTGTGCTTTCTCAACATTGTGGTTAATTTCCCAATTTTTTTTCACTCTTGCTCTTTAATGGCATACACCCTGATAAGTTTTCATTAAAAATATTGATTGATGTGTCTGTTCGCACTCAATAAGAAATTGCATGAAGCCAAAGTTATAACAGTGCAAAAGTCTGTCCGAAAAGTGTAACAGTGCTGCTGGTGATTATTGACTTCGCTAAAAAAAAAATCAAATTACAATTAGATAGCGCTCAGAGCGATTTACTTTTTCATTGTCAAGGGGAAAACTATGTTTAACAAAAAGAGACCCCCAAAAATTGCATAATGTCAGCAGTCACTTTCAAAAATGCCACTGTAGAGTTAATGCTGACGTCGACTGAGAAAATTGTCAGGCGGTGGAAGGAATACTTCGAGGACCTCCTTAATCCCACTGACACGTCTTCCGAGGAGGAAGCAGAGTCTGGGAGGAGGGGAATGACCCGCCAATTTCCGGGGGCGAGGTCACTGAGGCAGTTAAACAACTCCTTGGTGGCAGAGCCCCTGGTGTTGATGAGGTCCGCCCCGAGTTCCTGAAGGCTCTGGACGTTGTAGGGCTGTCCTGGTTGACACGCCTCTGCAATGTTGCGTGGAGATCAGGGGCAGTACCTGTGGACTGGCAGACCGGGGTGGTGGTCCCCATCTTTAAGAAAGGGGACTGGAGGGTGTGTTCCAACTACAGGGGGATCACACTCCTCAGCCTCCCTGGGAAAGTCTATGCCAGGGTGCTGGAAAGGAGAGTTCGTCCGTTAGTCGAACCTCTGATACAGGAGGAACAATGCGGTTTTCGTCCTGGTCGCGGAACACTGGACCAGCTCTTTATCCTCTCCAGGATACTTGAGGGTGCATGGGAGTTTGCCCAACCAGTCTACATGTGTTTTGTGGACTTGGAGAAGGCATTCGACCGTGTCCCTCGGGGTGTCCTGTGGGAGGTGTTGCGGGAATATGGGGTGTCTGGCCCATTGCTACGGGCCATTCGATCCCTATACAACCGTTGCAAGAGCTTGGTTCGCATTGCCGGCAATAAGTCGGACTCGTTCCTGGTGGGTGATGGGCTCCGCCAGGGCTGCCCTTTGTAGGGATGGGTATCGAAAACCGGTTCTTGTTGAGAACCGGTTCCCACTGTTTCAATTCCTTGGAATCGTTTGCCATTTTTGCAAACGATTCCCTTATCGATTCCAGTCGCCCCGAATGACGTCACCACGTTGCGGAGCGTCATTTACCTGGCAGGAAACATGGCGCCTAAGCGGCTCAAACGCTCAAAAGTTTGATTATACTTTATGAGAACCGATGACAACAGGGCAACTTGCAAAGTAGATATTTCATTTAAGGGAGGAAACACTACGAATATGCAAAAGCATTTGCTCACAAAACACGCGATGACACGCGTTTTTAATTCCGCTCCGGACTCGTGACTCTCAACCCAGCAGCAGCGCTAACGTTTGCACGTCCTCTCCCGTTAATGCGGCAGGTAAATAATCAACTAACAGTGCATATTATGTTAGCGCAATCTGCCTTATTACAAGACCTGCCATTACTGTACATGTAGGTGACCATGATGAGAGAGACAGACAGAGTCTGGCTGGCGCTCGCTGGCAGTTCTCGCTGCAGTCTACCGGTAGCGTCTCCTTTCAGGCCAGGATAGACTAATGTCACCGAGCAGTGTCTAAGTTTGTGGTCAAAGGCTTGCACCCATTTGCCACAGCAGATGCCCCCGATTTTTGGTAAGTGAATGTGTTTAATTGTAGGCAGGGACATTACTGGATATTCTTGTGTAATTGCCACAGAACAATTTATGTTATACTTTGTTATTGCTACAGAAGAATGTTGCAGCTTTAAGGCAGGGATGACTCCTGGAGTTGCTTTCTCACTGCATATGCTTTATTTCACAATCAGATCGATTCGATAACAAAAACATACAGCAGCTCCTCTCCTACTCCTAGCCCTTCGCTGCGGTGGAAAAAAGAACGACTTCAATCCCCTTCAAGGAACATACGTACAAAATAGTTTTCCTGATACACCAATGGGGCGTTCAATGCCATCTTGTAAATATGAGTACTCTGGCAGAGTAACAGTTCAAATGAAAAATACACCAGAACAAACAAGCAAACAAAAAAAGAAGTGTGGGGTACCTTTGAACCAATGAACAAAGTATAACAATTTATACTTTTTAACATAACCCGACCCCGTCAGTATGTGATATGTCTCACAAGAATATTTATTTTATTATTTTTCATTTACAATTTTTTTTTTTCCTGGGGACCCTGTGACACCCCATTGAAGAGCCGTAGGCTGGATCTCTCAAGATCTCACTGTTGGGTTTGTAAGGCCATGTTACTCCTAAATTTCTATCTTGTTCAAAGAGAAGATATAAAACAAAGCTCTGAGCTAATCGACCTTAGTGTTCTCCTTTTCTTAAAAAAAAAAAAGAATCGATAAGAGAATCGATAAAGAATCGAATCGTTAAACAGAATCGAAAATGGAATCGGAATCGTTAAAATCTTATCAATATCCATCCCTAGCCCTTTGTCTCCGGTTCTGTTCATAATTTTTATGGACAGGATTTCTAGGCGCAGCCAAGTGGCGGAGGGCTTTCGCTTTGGTGGCCTCAGAATCTCATCTCTGATTTTTGCAGATGATGTGGTTCTGTTGGCTTCATCGGGTGAGGGCCTCCAGCTCGCACTGGAACGGTTCGCACCGAGTGTGAAGCAGCGGGAATGAGGATCAGCACCTCCAAATCTGAGGCCATGGTTCTCAGCCGGAAAAGGGTGGAGTGCCCACTCCGGGTCGGGGATGAGTTCTTGCCCCAAGTGGAGGAGTTCAAGTATCTCGGGGTCTTGTTCGCGAGTGATGGGAGAAGGGAGCCGGAGATCGACAGACGGATTGGGGCTGCAGCTGCAGTAATGCGGACGCTGCACCGGTCCGTCGTGGTGAAGAGGGAGCTAAGTGTAAAAGCGAAGCTGTCAATTTACCGGTCGATCTACATCCCTACCTTCACCTATGGCCACGAGCTGTGGGTAGTGACCGAAAGAACGAGATCGCGGATACAAGCGGCAGAAATGAGCTTCCTCCGAAGGGTGGCTGGCCTCTCCCTTAGAGATAGGGTGAGAAGTTCGGCCATCCGGGAGGGGCTCAGAGTAGAGCAGCTGCTGCTCCACATCGAAAGGAGCTAGCTGAGGTGGTTCGGGCATCTGACAAGGATGCCCCCTGGGCGCCTCCTGGGTGAGGTGTTCCAGGCATGTCCCACCGGGAGGTGGCCCCGGGGCAGACCCAGGACACGCTGGAGAGATTATATCTCTCGGCTGGCCTGGGAACGCCTTGGTATTCCCCCGGATAAGCTGGAGGAGGTGGCTGGGGAGAGGGAGGTCTGGGCCTCTTTGCTTAGGCTGCTGCCCCTGCGACCCGGCCCCGGACAAAGCGGATGAAGATGGATGGATAGATTTAATGCGTTTTGGGGTTACTTTAGGCTACGTAACACTGCAGGCGAAAGCGCATCAAATACGACTTTTTTGACCCTATGCGACCCATATCCGATCATGGTATGACAGTGTGAACGGCACAAATCCGATATTTTCAAATCCGATCTGGGTCACTTTCGTATGTGGTACTGAATCCAATAGATATCTAATGTTTTAGAAAGTGACTGCTGTTTGAATGGTCATGTTGCATTAAATCAGTCTTTTATGTCACTGACACAAGACAGAAGCCAATTATCAGCGCCAGAGAATACAAATGAGAAAGCATGGCGGCGGAAACTGGAGACGGAGCGAGTCAATGGACAGAAACTGAGGTTTTGGAGTTGATTAGCATATGGGGAGACAATTCTATTCAAGCTAAACGACTCCGTGTCCATATATACCTCTGCATGGAGGTAGCAGCCACTGCTCCAAACAAGGCCATTGTTAAAGCACAGGCTATCTTTTTTCTCAGTGTCCTTCTTCCTCTAATTTGTCAAAATTCTGTCAGTTACGACTGTGCAGAAATTAATAGACTGCTGCAACAACACCTGCTAGCTCTGTAGCTGCCATTTTTACTACCGTAAACGGAGTGCGTTGTGTGTGATGTCTTCTTTTGCGCGTGCGGGCCACTCTGAGGGCCGTGAACCGTTCACACTAGAGCGGTTTTGCGGTCACATTTTATTTGTAGTGTGAACAACCAGACAGAAAAATCGGATTTGATCAAAAAATCGGAATTGAGCATTAAGACCTGCAGTGTGAACGTAGCCTATGACACTTTGGGCTAGAGCAGGACGATATGACCAAAAGTATTTATCACGATATACATTTGAAAATTTGCGATAATTATATATAAGATGATATAACTGACACTAGACAAAACACTTTACAACTTTATTAGTGCAAAACAAAAAAAACATCAATGTATTTTCACTTAAACAAGCAGCTGTTTTTTGTTTTTTTTTTAATTTTTTAGTGTGCATTAAAAGTTATATAAAAATGTAACTGTGCAAATGCAAATTCCTTGCTGACAGTTTAACCAAAATGCATTTCCAGTGGAAATTGGCCGACATATCCTCAGCATAACCATGTATAATATCTACAAAACTTAAAAAGAGGTTATACACACACAATACGGTAATATTATGTTGAAGCACAGTACATATCACTCCACGAGGCTCCTGCGTACGACAGTCGTAATGCTCCGCCAATCCATCAAGCGGTGCGGGTTCGTAGCTTAGCAAAGTCGTACTAAAACATTTGACTGATTTTCGAACGCCGTGTATAATACATAAAATCGTTTCGAGGTCAGTAAACACAACCAGAATTCATATATAAGGCACACGGGATTATAAGGGGCACTGTCGATTTTCAGAAAAATCAAAAGAGTGATTTTAAGTGTGCTGTATTTTCCAAAATATAACTTGGTAATAACGACGGCCCACTAGCATGCGCTACCAAAAATAGTTTTTTGATGTGTATCTGACGGACGAAAGCTAAACCAGTTCCACACCACTGAAGTTGCAGCATTTTGACAAACTAATTCTGGTTCATCCGTTTCATTCATTCCACTTTCGCCCTTCTCATTCTCTGTCACCGCCATGCTTTTTCCGCCATTTTCGTATGAAAACAAAGGCACTGCGCATGCGTTTTACCCATATTCTATTGCGATATTTCATTTTGTTATCGTTGCCCAACATTATACCGGTATTACCGTGAACGGTATGATATGGCCCAGCCCTACTTTGGGCAATGAGGATGTCAAGATTTAAGCTTTGGTTTGAAGTTATCATAAATCTAGAAGGATGCAATAATCCCAACCATGCAGCGGCTGCACCGCTTGTTCACATGGTCCCATCATTTTGCCTTTCAGAAACATAAGGCTCAGTTGACATCTTGTCCTGAGGGGAAAGGTGCCAGATTACATGATGACAGATGACTTATGTTCAGAGAGCAGAAGCCATGGTGTTAACAATGGAAATCTGTGCATATAGTGTGTGAGCATGAAAGGAAGGGTGTCTGTAGCTAGACTCAAGACTTTCTGAATTAATTTTCACCACAGCAGTTATTCTGATGCAAGATGAAGTACAGAAGTCAGCAACAGATGCTCACACAACCATTGTGAGCTCAACCAAACTTTCCAAGTTTTTACATATGACATGCTTGGAGCCAAGGAATGTGTTTCATGAACCATTACTGATTCAATTAGATTTGGGTTTGAGAGATTTATTAAGTGATGCAAGAAATAATTTAAATATATATATTTTTTTCGCAAGAACGTTGGAGGAACATAAAACGTGACAGAGGACTTTGATCAAAAGGGTTGCACATGCAACCGATGTGGAAGAGGAAGTTATTACTCACATTGTGCACTCTCTAGCAGCTGGTGTTTTCTTGGCAGTGCCAAGTGTATTGGAGGCTTGAAGGAATTTGAAATAATCAGCTGACATTTTTAGTGATATTTGTTACGTTTCTGAAAGGAAATGTGACCTGATATGCTTTCACCTGCAGAACAATGGTGGTTTGTTGTTGAAATGAGAATATAAATTCAGATTCTGTTGAGACTGAGAGATACAAGTAGAAGTCGAGTCAGTACTTGTTTGACATTTGTTGATTGGACTGATGCACATTAGGTGCATTTGTAGGTAAGCCAGAGCTGTAACTTTGAGTCTGTTGGGCCTAGCCTGTTGTAACATGTATTCCTCCCCAGTCTGGTTCTAAAAATACTCAAGTGATACAGTAAGCAATGTTCTCTCCCTATTTAAGATGGAAACTCTATCTGTGGAATGTAGTCTTAGCTGTCAGATCCTCCATACTCAGGGGGTCGCACATTTCAACATGGACAGCATGGGTTGCTTTGTTTTCACCAGAGAAGAGGGTGGGAGGCACTGCACCAAATCATACCAAAATTTCTATTAAGCATGGTTTTGCATTTGATTTTAACAGTTGCTTACCCCCCACACTTCATAATCTTTATTAAGTCCCATCATAATTTAATTGTTGTTTCCCCCTTTTCTAGTGAGAATAAACCCAAAAATGGAGGCATCTGTGTCGCTAACCACACTTCACCAATTGATGTCATCATCCTGGCAAGCGATGGCTGTTATGCTATGGTAACTATACTGGCACAAAATGTAGAAAAGAACAAAACATTTACGTTGGTCACTTCTTCTACTGCAGGTATTTGTTGGAGTGGAAACTCTCCCAGAAATAGATCTGTTGCTATCTTTGTGTTTGTGTTGTTAGGTTGGACAAATCCATGGCGGCTTGATGGGGGTCATTCAGAGATCCATGGTCAAAGCTTGTCCACACATTTGGTTTGAACGCTCAGAAGTAAAAGACAGACATCTTGTGGCCAAAAGGTAGAATTACAGTCTGTGTTTAAAGATATTTTTTTTGTACGTTTTTATGACGTTTTACCTTTTTAGAAATTATTCCATGGGTTGTTTTTGGATCATTCAAAGTAAAACTTCAAATTGGAATAAGTCTACTCAAATTTTTGGTTTAATAGTCTTTAAAAGTGATCTCTTTAGAAATCTTTTGCATTAACCTGCATACTTCTTTCACTACAGATTGAGCGACCATGTAGAAGATAAATCTAAACTGCCTATCCTCATTTTCCCAGAAGGTGAGCTCATATAGAAAATCATATAGTTATCTAACTGCAAGTTTTATTTTATCTTACATAAACCTTGTGTTTTATGAATTCTTATTTCAAGGTACCTGCATTAACAACACATCGGTTATGATGTTTAAGAAGGGCAGTTTTGAAATTGGTGCCACAGTCTACCCTGTGGCTATTAAGGTAACAGTTTTTGTTCTAGTTTTTAACTACAGTCTTGTCCACAGTAACACATGTACTGATTAATCATTTTGGTGTGTGCCTGAACCTCGTAGTATGATCCCCGCTTTGGAGATGCTTTCTGGAATAGCAGCAAGTTCGGGATGGTCAACTACCTTTTGCGTATGATGAGCAGCTGGGCCATCGTCTGCAGCGTGTGGTACCTTCCTCCCATGTCTAGAGAGGTGAGACTCAACTCGAGGCATCTCAACAAAGAGAAGCTTTGTGTTTCTTTTTTTTGTTGTTTTGTTTTTATATATTGAGAGCACGTTGTTTAAAATCCATATACTTGTAATGGATTTTTTTTATCTTGATTTATTACATTTTATTTTGACCAGCCATCCTCAAAATTTGACCAGCAGGACCTGCAGTCACAATAACAGAATATGCGTTTCAGCTGTAGACCCTCTGTATTGTTTTGTCGCCCTGTTTACAAATTCCTACAATGAGAATAATACCAAACTTTTGATGGTATACATTTTCAAGGCTTTATACTTTTTTAGACAAGGGCAACAAAACACATGAGGGGAATAAAGCACTTAGTGAAACATCTCAGCATTAATTATCTTAACTGGCAACAGGTCATTAACATTATTGATTATGCAAAGATCATCTCAGAGAAGCAAAGTCTTTGAGAATTAAAACAAGATTCAGAAATGTTGCTAACTCTCTTATTTAAGATCGACTGAAATGTAACATAAATCTGTCCGGTGACCTGACCAATCAAAATCTATTCATTCATTCATCATATACATAGTCTTAAAGAGCTAAAAAGAGCAACCATCAGCACACAACTCAAAAACCAGCATCCTCCATGGTATGTGGTGCATTAGTGCATATTGCATGAGCATGTGCTGCATGGCATTGCTACAGATGCTGCCACCCAGATCTCCTTCAGTATGACAAAATGATAAGATTTTAGGAGAAAAGCTGTTCATTGTTTATGACTGCTTGCTTACCAGAACTGTATTCATGTTTTTCCTCCCAACAGGAGGGAGAGGATGCAGTACAGTTCGCAAATCGTGTTAAAGCAGCCATAGCCAGGCAAGGAGGACTTGTCGATCTCTTATGGTAAGATAACACTCTTTCATTTTCACATACACATTCAATGAAGGACAAGGCAGAAAAACGTGTGACTATTCATACCAGACACTGGATCATAGAAAAGCACAAGTGTAACCAAAAGCAATAGCAAAACCTTACAAAATAAAAGTTTTTTTTCTGTCACTCACATACACAATCATTGCTCCAGCTTGTTGGAGCTGTTAACCAAATCCATCCATAATTATGTTACATGTACTATAGTCCCACACAGATAATTTTAGATGTCTAAAAATATACTGGATTTTCTTTACTGTTTCAACTGCATCCATTAGTTTCCATGAAATGCATTGAGCAAATTGATGCAACCTAATAACACTGCTTTCCTTTCTTTTTATGAGCTATGAACTACTGAAATTTCCTTTAGTTACTACAGCGTTGTAGGGTGCCATCTGAATTACAGTTTATCTGCTTGTTACATGATGATGTCCCTCCTGCTTCCTTGTCCTCCTGTGGCGTTTGTTTAGACTCTTGTCTTTTTAATGTACTGGGATACTTTTTTTTTTAGTTAACATAAACAAGCCCCTAAGAATAATCCATGGTCGTTGTCAATTTGTCTGGCTTTTTATTAGCACTGGTTATGTGCAGCACGCCTTTAAGCTCAGTTTGTATCTACTGTATCTACAGCCCATGGGCTCACGGCTTGCCAGACACCAAATATTTTAACGCATCAGAAAAGAATCACTCTCAGGCTGACTAAGATTTCAGTGGGGACCTGAAGCCTAGAATCAGAAATTTTTCCGTTAGATGGATTATCTGAAATGTTCTCTTAACTAAAGTTTAGTTAAGAGACCCTCACATTAACATTTATTAAGTTTATATTACTCTAACCATAGCTCTGTAGGTAGCCACCAGGTAGCACGCCATTGCCAGCTAGCCAAACTTCAGTAACACTACAAACATCGCTACTCCCAAAAAGTTGATTCTGTTCATCTGGACATGGTGTTTTCATTGGGAGAAACATTTCGTCACTCAGAACAAAATCAACTTTGGGGGATTTCCTTACTTGGATGATTGAGCATGCAGACAAACATTGCTACTGTTTTGTTTTGTCCAGAGTGACAACAGATCTGTCTCTTTCTTTCTTTCTTTCTTTCTTTCTTTCTTTCTTTCTTTCTTTCTTTCTTTCTTTCTTTCTTTCTTTCTTTCTTTCTTTCTTTCTTTCTTTCTTTCTTTCTTTCTTTCTTTCTTAACTTTCAGAACATGATTTATAATTTTTTGATGGAGAGTATAGTTAGCTAACGTCTTACTCTGTTAAACAACTTTTTCATGGATGTTGAACTTTTTTGTAACACCAGGGTGAACTCCCACACTCATCATTTTATTGGCGCTGCAAGAATTTGGACTGTTGTTACTCACAGTGATGCCAAAAATGTTTGATTTCTGGGAAATGAAGAACAGTTTGACATCATTAGCTATTTCTGCGTCTAGACTTATGAAGCTGATTGGATCTACAAGGCCAATCAACCTATAATTTAATTATTCAATTATTCTTACCAATTACATGGAGACATTATTATATTTAATTCAGTTTTCATAGTTGAATATTTGCTTCCTTATACCATTTGGTTGCCATTTTTTTTAAAGAATAAGAATTTATTACAGTATTGCCATTTACGATAAAGTTTAAGTTTTTTACATTTTAATTGCTTGGATAGAAACTAATCAGTAGAACATGTGTGGCTACATTGTTACTAATTCAGGCTCTTTTATAGGGATGGAGGACTGAAAAGGGCAAAGGTTAAAGATACCTTTAAAGAAGAGCAGCAGAAGTTGTACAGTAAAATGCTGGTTGGCACCCAGGAGGACCGCAGCCGCTCCTGAAGGACCTTTATGGAGATGGACTGGCTCAAAGCTGGGCACCTCTTACTGATTAGGCGATCAGCAGCGGTCCTTTTCTGTCGGAGCCCCTGGACTGGAAAATTCTGTCCCTGATGTCAAAAGTACTCCATTTGGCTTCCTCGGTCACTGCCTCAGCCTGGCATGTTAAGTTGGCTTCGCTGTTACAGGTCATTCTGAGTCTGCTGCCCTGTGTTGGAATAGCTTGACCGAAGCCTCGCTTGCATTAGAAACGGAGCAAAGGAGAGTCTTCCTTGGTGGCAGTCTTTTAAGGAAAAGTGTTTATTTTTGTTTGTTTTTTTCTTTTTCACTTAATCGTTTTATATTTTGTTTTTAAGATTTTACAGTCATGTTTTTATGTTATGTTTCCGTTTCAGACTTGATTATACCTGGGTGTATAAAGGAGTTATTGTAGATAAAAACTAAATTGTTCTAAAGCTGAAACCTGTGACTGACTTGGGGTTTTTCATGACCGGCTTGTACCCTTGATTCAGGGCACAGTGCCAGATTTTGTTACATTTCAGATATTTTTATGGGCTTTTTTCCAAGATGAAAAAAAAAACTTGTATTTTAAACATTGAGTTTTACATTAAGACTTGTATCAACACATGGCCACTGTAGGAGCTGCGCTTGAGACGTGTTCCTGATATGCTGTCTGTGACTTCTTTTCTTTTTTTTCTCCTCTCTCCACTGAATGTGCAAGTGCTCACATTATGAAGTGGAAAATGTGCACCCACAGTTACTCTGATGGAAGTCTGTAGATTTAGACACCTATTCTTCTTCCAGCTAATAATGTATAACTGGAAAAAGGGATTATTAGGAATTTTGTCAGCATTGTTCCTGTAAGGCTTGTGTCACGCAGGTAGCGATGTAAAATCATAACAGTGGGTCTCTTCACTAAACACATAGATATAATGGCAAATAACCAAAACATACTCATACACCTTTTAAAAATACATCTTTTCATTGACTTCCTGCCATTGCAGTGAACAGTGGCTAGTTTATTTTAAGTAAACTCTAAAAGCTATTGTGTTTATCTGCCCCGCCTCACCAATGACCTTTTTCCTAACTTAGCAGCCTCAAGGAGGTTTCATGAACAGACTGCAGCTTTACTTTGAACTCAAGAAACTTGGTGGACGGCCTCATTGGTTTCTCCCTGGGACCTTTGTCTCACTGGTCTGCTGTTATCAGGGATAGTTGTTTTAGATTATGTCAAATCATTTCATAAAAATAAATGTTCAAGAATGTTCACTACTTTTGACTTTGTTTTTTTTTCACTATATCTAATGTTTATAAGTATTGCCTTGACTTGCTGTTGTTTTCTGTCTTTCTGGATAGTTTTTCGTTGTGATGCCTCCAGTCTGGCATCAAGATTGGAATCTTTATTTTTCTAGCACTGTATTCTTGCATTTATTCCCTATCAGGGTTTAGTGCTAAGGATCAGTGCGTGAATGTACAGCACATTTGAAGAGATTTAAACATGTGATTACCTGAGATGCTTATGTGTGACCTTAAACAAGCCTTTCATTCTTGAAAACCCTGCAGTGTGGTTGATTTAAAAACAACAAAAAAAAAAACCTCTGCAAAGGCGAGTCGGCCAAAGTTCCTTCACAGTGATTTGAAAGACATTGCCAGTAATCACACACTTGATTTCAGTTCGTGCTGCCAAAAGTGGCAAAACAAGTTATTAGGTTTACACTATCACTCTGTCACACAGAGCCAGATAGGTTTGGGTAGATTTTATCCCTTAATTTATTAAGTCACGATTTTAAAACTGCATTGTGTGTTTTGTCATTATAATTGTCCCACATTAAATATTTTTTTAACAGTCTGACACATGTAACTGACAATTATGCAAAGAATAAACCAGGAAGGGGGCAAATATTTGCTGAGTTTCAGCACACAGTAGAGTCAGATGTCATAAGCTCACTTTTAGTCTGATACCTGCTCATGATATGCATCCAAATGACTAAAGCATTTATTCTTAGAAGTGCTGATATAGGGGATAAAACAAAAGACAGACCTGTTTTAAAGTAGATTGAATAAGAATTTTGAATGCATAAAAAAATCAAAACATTTTGATCTCATGGGTGTAGATTGATGGAAAGACGATAAACATCAGCTATTTCTGGGTCTAGACTTATGAAGCTGATTGGCTCTACAAGGCCAATCAACCTATAATTTAATTATTCAGTTATTCTTACCAACTACATGGAGACCTTATATTCAATTCATTTTTCACAGTTGACTATTTGCTTCCTCGTACCATTTGGTTGCCCTTTTTTAAAGAATAAGAATTTATTGCAGTATTGCTATTTATGATAAAGTTTATATTGTTTACATTTTAATCGCTTGGGTAGAAACTAATCATTAGAACATGTGTGGCTACATTGTTTACGAATTCAAGCTCTTTCATACGGATGGAGAACTGAAAAGGGCAAAGGTTAAAGATACCTGTGAAGAAGAGCAGCAGAAGCTGTGCAGTAAAATGCTGGTTGGCACCAGGAGGACAGAATCGAATTTGAGATTATTGGAACTTGACAAAATGTGGAAAACTTGACAGTTCAGTTTTATTTATAAATCACCACAACAGTCGCCTCAAAGCACTTTACATTGTGCCCCCTTAAAAAGAAGAACTTGGTGTCAGTGGGAATGAAAATCCCCCTTTTAACAGGAAGAAACCTCTAGCAGGACAAGGCTTAGGGGAGGACAGCCATCTGCCATGAGGGGAGGAAGACAGGACAAAGACGCACTGTGGAAGTGAGACAGAGATGAACAACAACCACAAGGTCTGAAAACTTTCATACTGCACTGCCTCATCCAAGAATCCATGGCTGCAATAAACCACTTCTTCCTCCTTTCAATGAGGCGTCCTTCCAAACCATTTGATTGCGATAGCTTCAAGTGGATTCGTTGATGCGGGTAAATAAAGCACACAGTGCTTGGAGGAGGAGGAGAAAGAGGAAGCAGACAGCGGCTTTCGATTGTGTAACCCATGCCTTGGTTGAGTAGCTCACTAACAACATTACGGAGTGCCAGAGTCCAACCCTGCCACATGGCATACATCCATCGACTCCAAATAAGTCTTTTATAGCTTCTGGCTCCACTGGAAACTAAGGATGGGGAAATGTTGTTATGCTGCTGTGGTGATGAAAAGATACTGGAGAAGGCGGGTTTTCTAAAGAAAAATGACTAAAGTGGAAGTCATGCATCTGTTGGCACAGGACTGCACATTACAGTGTAGTTAATGGTGATAGCAGCAGGGTATAATCACTGCTCATACAGCTAAGGGGAAGTGAGATTAAGGCAAGATGTACCTGTTATATAATTTGATTGTGCGCTGAAGAAAAGCAACCTGCCCCAAGTGAAAAGAAGTGCTACACAGGGAGAAGATCACTAACTTCCTGTTTTGTGTCTTTAGACAACGAGACTGTGGTACGCTGATTTGCGAGTTTAAAATCCTTTCAGGTCTTTTTTTTTCAACAACAAAAACTTTATGTGGTCTATAAATTACATGTTAGGTTATAACACCTCACAAAGCATTGTTGTAATAATGTAATGCTTAGTGTGGTTCAGGAGTGGTTGCGGTAAAAGCTAGCTGTTTTGTACAGCAAGTCATGTATGTATGTATGTAAAGGTTTCTGTGACATTCAAATGCTGTGAGATTACCTCCAGGTGATTTTATTATTGAGTGCTGGTTGGCTTATCACTGATAAACTTGTACTGTATTTTATTGAATACAGCAAACCAGCAGCGATCGGAGCAAATGGGCGGAGCGCCAGGAGTTCATAACGCAACACCGCCCGCTTTCAGAAGGCTCTCCGAGGGTTTGTCAGCAACAGATGCCCAGTCCAGGCAGCTTAAGAAGCCCTTAAGAACCTACTAGTCCAATTAATCCCGAGGAGGCGGAAATCCACACGTCTGAACGGGCAGTTACACAAACTTGTTACCTGCTCCCTGACTCCACGACGATGATGAAGACGAGCGCCTCTCTGCAGGCGTACGTTAACCGTGCGACACCGAAGCCCGCTATCAGCAAACGATTTGGACCAGAAGCGGGAAGGCGTCCGTGAGGGATAGCTGCTAGTCGCGACTCAGATTCTCTCTCAGACACTCACACACATTATAAGCCTCGGTAAGCTCCTGCAGAGTTGATCGCAGGCCTGCATAAGCATCACTGGCGACGCTGCTGCTGCTACTACGGAGTTTCCTCGGGACTGCTCGCGTCGTTAACATGGAAACGTTCACCGGTGTGCTGCTTGTCACCGCAAACGTCGGCTCACTCTTTGACAATGTAAGTAGAACGGCATCACAATTAAAGTCACACCATACTTAAGGTACAGTCAGAGGATTATATAAACGCTAATAGGCTTAAGTAAGCCGGTAGGAGGGTGTAGGGTAGGAGGCAAGTTTTTTTGTTTTTTAAATATTGAATCGGCTACATTGCTAGCTTACATCATAGGTATAAGGATGTAAGCAGTGAGCTGAGCTCTTCTGGTGCTTTATGTTTTTTTTGTTTGTTGTTGGGGCTTTTCGGTAATTGACATACATTTGCCTCGTAATGAGACGCTTTCAAGTTACCAAGCAATGTTTCCTTGTCAGCTGTCAGCAGCAGATACTGTTAATTAAAAGGAAACAGTCAAAGTTGACTCATAATTAGACAAGCTACCTGTTGGACGCGTCACGTGCCAGACTGGAACGGGTGGCTGCACCTCAGGTGGTAGAGCAGGTCACCTACAAATCGTGAAAGTTGGTGGTTCAATTCCAGTTTGCATGCCAAGCATCCTTGGCAAGACGCTAACCTCAATTTGCTCTCCGATACATCCATCGGGGTGTGAATTTTAGATAGAAAGAGCGTGCTTTTCTTAATGAGGGAAGCTACTTTGAGTGCTCAGATAAAGTAGTTATATCTACCAGTCCTATAAGAACCAGTCCTTTTACCGTTTACCAAATCCTTCTGAACCTGTCTGCAACACCCAGACATGAACAATAACAACACACAGGTCAAATAAATGTTGTCATTCAGAAGTGTTTTTTTTTTTCGTTTACAGTTATGCTTGCAATTCAATTATACATTCATACTGATAATAAATAGTGAATAGACCTCTTTAACCCTCGTCATGTTGACATGAAGTAACAAATTGCCCTTTTCCTATAAAAAATAAAATAAACAACAAGAGTGCAGTGTAAACAGGTGAACGAGAAAAAACAAAAACACCACCACCAACACAATACTGTGCAATTTACATGCTGGAAAACTTTGTAAACTTTTGATGCTGTTTGATAATGATCAGCTCAGCATCTGTGCACACACATGTACAAACCTAATGATCTCCATACACACAGATGCATACACAATGCAGTGCATAATTCACAGAACAAAACATCAAGTTGCATTGAGTGTTGGGCATAACTCATTCCAAAGTAAACTAAGGTCAGCAAAGGTTTAATAGAGGATTGCAGGTTACATAAAGTTTATAACAGATTTAGTGCAGAAGTTGATTTATTGCCTGAGAATAGGCCAAGAATAGGCCAAGGATGTTAACTCATTTGAGTTAACATCCTTGGCATCCTCTCAGTCTGCAAAGGTAGCTGTGCCTTTGCAGGAGTCCTCCAGATCCTCTATGAGGGTAATGAAGTTGCTGCCTCTCAGATTGCAACCATACTATTTCTCATCAATCCCAGGTGTAAAATCAGTGCTTATGATGTCACTACTGGGAAAGTGTGTTTGTTTTGTATTCAGTAGTCAGTTTATAGCAGCCTTGTAAAACTGCGGAGATTTAGAGCGCCATGGTAGCTCTATGAGTCTGTAACAGCCCAGTCTCACTTTTTTGCATGTGTCCAAAAACATACAGTAAAACTACCATTTTAAACACAAGATTAAATAATTTAAACTGTAATTTAACTGTCCCAACGGGCTCCAGCTCTTTCTCTGTTTTACCTCGGCTTTGCTTAACTTTCAGGGAGGAGAGCTCTTAGACTCATGGAAATTTGGCTCAGGACCCGTTTCCGGTTGCCAGACCTTGCTCCAATGAAAACATGTCAGGTCCCATTGTGGGAGATATGTAAACAGATGAATATCTTCCGCGGTGGACTTGAACTTTTCCACTTACTTAAGTTAAGCCCTCTCATTTCTATAAACAAACATTCCTAAATTATTCACCCAACTTTTGGGTGAGAGCAGGACCTGCAGCACAAGACAGAGTAAATCCTTTTCCTTTGCAGTTCTGGGCTGGCTGAGTGTCCTGTTAGAG